TCCTTTGAGAATCTGTGATAAGTAGCACGTTATGTTGATCCTAGCTGGAGGAGAGCCCCAAAATCTCTTGGCTCTGCCCACGAAGGCTAGAGGGGCAGGCGCAGCACCCCTCAGTGATCCTTACCACCTACCTCTGCTGTCCATCCCATTTTTTTCTGTAGCGAGGAGTGGATGCGAGCCATCCAGACGGTAGCAAACAGCCTGAAGAACCAGGAACCAGAGTCAGACACGATGGATTACAAGTGTGGATCTCCTAACGACAGCACCAGCGCTGAGGAGATGGAGGTGGCCGTCAGCAAAACCCGCGCCAAGGCTGTAAGTTGCCCACTTGCCACAAGTGGGATTGTGGTGGGACTGCCAAGCAGTGAGGGAGGTTTATGGGATAAATCTCATCCCCTCGGCATCAACTTTCACCAGGATAATCGTGAATGAAATAGCTCAGAAAACCCCTTCCCATCCAAGATCCTGCTTGCCCACACCGCAAACTCTCAGCCCTGTCTCCCCGTTTCTCCCCAGACCATGAATGATTTCGACTACCTGAAGCTCCTGGGAAAGGGCACCTTCGGCAAAGTCATCTTGGTGCGGGAAAAGGCCACCGGCCGCTATTACGCCATGAAAATCCTACGCAAAGAGGTCATCATTGCGAAAGTACGTGCCGAGCCCCAGCGGAGGGTGAGGGGACATTGGGAGCCGGCTGGGCTTAGGGAATCATAGAATAGTTTGGGTTGGAAGGGACCTTTAAGGGTCACCTAGTCCAACCTCCAGATGGTGGCGTGGCTTTCAAAACATACCTCCGAAGCTGCCGAGCGATGGCTGGCTCCTGCTGTGCTCTAAATGCTGGCAGGTTCCAGGAATTATCCTTATTTCAAAACCCTGGGTATGTGTTGCAATGCACAGTTGGGTGACACGATGGGATCCACTTGCTCACCTCTCTCAGGGGATGCAGCGTGGCCACGTCCTCCTCTGGACAATTTAGCCAGTGAACCCTTTGCCCCACAGGGACGAAAACAAGGCGGAGGTTGGCGCTTTGAGCTCCTATCCCTGTTGTTTTTTTTTTTTCTGGGAACAGTTTGCAGCGGTGAAAAATCTCTGATTTTCCCAGAAATGGTGGGGGATAAATGACGCTTAATTTCTCCTCCCTTTGCAGGATGAGGTGGCACACACTGTTACAGAGAGCCGGGTGCTGCAGAACACCAGGCACCCCTTCCTCACTGTAAGTATGGCTGGTTGCAGCGAGGGAGCAAAGGGGCAGCGTACCGTGATGCCCAGCGTGCCCCAGAACAACCCTTCCCTTCACCTCACTGCCTCCTCTGGAAGCACAGAGCCCCACAGCTTCTCCAAGACCTTTTTTTCCCCTCTTGCAGGCTCTGAAATATGCCTTTCAGACAAATGACCGGCTGTGCTTCGTCATGGAGTACGCCAACGGCGGAGAGGTGGGAGCTTAAGACCCAACGCTCCCCCCACACCCGCTTCCCTGGGGCTAGGAAGGATCTTGTCCACATGTTAAATAGCTGTTTTCAGCTCGTTAGTTATAGACAATTTATTCCACAATCTCCCCTCAGCATGTGTTTCAGGAGGTAGAGAGCTGTACAGCTCTTCCCCCCCCGCCCGCCCTGTCCCCATCCCCTGAGCTCTCCTGGCTCCTCCGGGGTGTTCTGG